CTCTGGTCACCGGCCATGTCAGAAACGATATATATCGGGGTTCCTTGCTTAAATTCATCCTCAGTACTAAACAATTTGTACACCATCATTCTTGTTTACAGGAACTGGACCAAAGAATGATGGTGTACAACAAATGACAAGTTGTCTCTAGACAAATGGAGTTGCTTTCACTCCGCATTCAGCTGCTCTTGATCCCATGTGAGTGGGTTCTGTTGAATGTCATCAGAGGCAGCATACTGTTTATACTTGTTACAAAAGTAATGTCAAAATCTTGGCGTGAGATTTGACAGTCCTTTTCTCAAAAACCTATGATCCTCCCTCTTCACAAAACTCAAAATTCACAAAATAACAATTGGGGAAAACTCATGGCCAAAGTGAAAAAGGTCAATTTCAGATGCTGTATCACTACGCCACATTGCAAATTTACCGTGGAGTTTAGAAAATTGAGTAGACATAGAAAATTATAGAGAAGCTGGCAAGGATCAGAAAAATATGAAAAAATAATGGGAGGGCCCTTTGATGCATTCCGATTGTCTGGCATATTTTTTCATATTTTTAAAACTACAATGCATATAATACTACACAAAATATAATATCTTCTGGGCAGAAAATATAAAAACCAACAAACAGTGATATTGAGCAGTCTTGAAGAGAGACAAAAATACACAAAAATATGCATATTGTTCCTATGGCTGAGACCCTGTATTTGAGTATTTTTTTGTATTTTTAGTGTGAGAATTGTTGATTGTACTAACAAAAAACCTCCAGGATTGTTAGATTACAACCTGTAACAGACATTGGAGGGCATAATTTGAATTCAACAATCCCTTATATCTTTGTCAATTCTTGGTCAAACCACTTGATTTTTTGTTCATTGGAAAGCCAAACTCTTTGACTATATCTTTCATTGAGACAAAAAACCTGCATCTAATCCCAAAGAATATCTATGTGGCTATATAGGAAATTGTTTCAAAGACAAATAGGTTTTTTTGTAGCGGAGCTACAGAGTTGATGCATCAACATAACATTCAAATGCATTTCATGGCTTCCTAATCAGCTGACTATCAAGTGTTTTGACCCAGAATTGCAAAAGATATGAGGGATATAGAATTCCAGATATCCCCTTGTCACCCCTTGGCCAAATTCCAATCCGTGTTACAGGTTGTAATCTGAGAAACTTGGAGGTTTTTTGTTAGTACATTCAACAATCTGCACACTAAAAATACAAAAAAATACTCAAATACAAGGTCTCAGCCATAAGAACAATATGCATATTTTTGTGTATTTTTGTCTCTCTCCAAGACTGCTCAATATCACTGTTTGTTGGTTTTTATATTTTCTGCCCAGAAGATATTATATTTTGTGTAGTGTTATTTGGATTGTAGTTTTGAAAATATGAAAAAATATGCCAGACAATTGGAATGCATCAAAGGGCCCTCCCATTATTTTTTCATATTTTTCTGACCCTTGCCAGCTTCTCTATAATTTTCTATGTCTACTCAATTTTCTAAACTCCACGGTAAATTTGCAATTTGGCGCAGTGTATGTCTGATTGAATAAAAAATACTTAACATCAAACAGCACTTTTCTTAGCAAGGGGCTTGATGATAATGCATTACTCATGAGCATGCAAACGGTCACCTAGTCACCCAGCAGATAAGCAGTCAATTCTGTGATTATTCCCCATAAAAGATAAACATACATATCTAATGTGCATGCTTGCGCGCTCTCTTATTGCCAGTGAGGACATGGAGGTGGCACGGAGATTTCAAGGACTTCCATCAATGTAATTACAGGAGCAGATATATCGTTTGTGACAAACCTGACATGATCATGTGAGTCTTGGTGAGCACTTACCTTGTTGTATACAAACAATTTCCAAACCTTTTCACAGGTTCCAGAAGAGTAAATTGTCTCTTTGATCACTTTGAGAAGTCTGAGAATACAGCCCCAGTTTTTGGTCTCACCTCCAAGCCATTTGGTGCAATACAGACCAAGCTGGACATGTTTGGGGTTGAAAAGTGAAAATAGGGATTTAAAGACCATCATTTTTTGATGCTGTTATATATATCAACAGTTTTTTCAACCTGTGTCAATTCCTTGAAGGTACCAATGAATTCCCAGTTGGCAGTTCAATTTGTTAAATGTATAAACAAAGGTATGGTGAGGCCTTATATGGGACAATGGCCCCCTTGATATGACTCTTGATATGATTTTGTTCTCCTTGGTTGGGTCAATGAACTGTTATGAGCCCACGCAGGTATTATGCTTGTATGCTTATAGTGAAATCACTCTTTACTTGAGACTCACTGAGTCAGAGATTTTACATCTTCACATTGCAATCTTATTATTATCCAAGCACACCCTTTGTAGACTCTTGATCACCACACAATCAGGTCCTAATATGAATGTAATTGTGTTCCAGTTTCTAAATG